AATATAGATGCTTTTGAAAAATTTAAAGCAGTTAACCCCTTTTTTATTCAAAATGAAATCCTGGTGATAAATGAATTAAGTTTAAGTTTTACTGTGGTTTTTTATATTTTGGCTGACATATTTCATTCCAATCGGGCAAAATAAAAAGTTATTTCTGTTCGAGAATTCATCGCCTTTAAGTTGTTATTCTATTCTAAAATATTTGATTCCTGTTCCAAAATTTTGTCATTTTTTCGATAATAAAATGATTTATATTCAATAATCATATCGAACATGTCATTCCTATTTAATTGAGTTTACAATTTCACACTTGTTTTAGTTTTGTCATATTTCCCATAGTGCAATTATTTAAAAAAATAAGAAAAACATCGCATAGGAGAGATAAAATTATGCTATAAGATAAGAAGTTTATCGAATAGGAATGGTATTTTTTCGATCGAATAGAAATGAATGCATATGTTTTTTCGAACAACAACTTTATTGCATATAAACCAAATAATTATCGAATAAGAAAGATAAAATTATCGAATAGGAATGACAAAATTAGCGAATTGGAATCACATGTTTTCAAACATGAATGGAATCGAATGGGAAACGCGTGTTTTAAAAAAGAATTATATAATATGGGAATCATCTTGTCATATTTCCTCCAATGTGAGTAGTAACTTTTAAAATACGATTTACATATTGAATAGAAATCACATTGTATCGAGTAAGAATGATATGTTTTACAATAAGTATAATCTCATTCTGAAGGTTGTGCTCAGAAAACGATCAATTTTTAAGTCGAGGCAGGCTACTGAGTACTGATAGATATTAAGTTTGTTACAGGAATTTCACCAACCTTGTTTAAAGTTAGCATTACTTACATGCTACATATAGTCGCTATATTCATCTTTTTCAGAAATATAACCTATCATTGGATTCATTTTGGCCGATGTGTTTCATAATAATTTTTAAGCTTTTATTTTTATTTTTTTTTGTACTGAATTTTACGAAAGCCCAGAAGGCTCATTCGAGATTCGAGGTTCGAGATTTGACATACGAGATTCGACATACAAGATTCGAAATTCGAGTTTCGAGATTCAAGATCCAGATTAACCAATCAAAAGCGGGTTCAACATTGGATTACTCCCCATTATTATGATTTTACTATCAAGAAATCGTTGAATATATTAATAACAAATGGGTCGTTTGCTAAAATAATAATGCAAGAAAAAGTGTTTTATGTATTAAAAAGAAATAATAAAATTTGAATTACATTTTGAAAAATACATGTATAATTTTTTTTTTCTCATTAAAAAAAAAGGTTAATACGTATATATGGAATATTATATGGTCTTTCGTTGACTTGCGGAATAAGTAGGTCTACTGTTTTTTTTTTTAATCAGATAATTGCTGAGGGAGATACAGAATACTGTATTTGAGTATAATTAGATATGAAGTACTAGTATTATGAATCGTCTCTACATTGCACAGTAATTCAATTACATTTATAAAGGGTACATTTGTGCTTTGAGACTTGACTGCTGAATCGAACTGTAGCGTCACAAGGTTTCACGAGTATATTTTAGTCTTTGGTCATAACGGTATGGTCAGAGACTAAAATATAAAACCATAACGCTATAATAGTTCCGCATCTAATTTAGACTCATCTACTACTGATATAGGATAAAATAAATGCCGCATTTATTCTAATTCATATTGCCAATCTGTATTGTATATATAATTTTTCATTATTTCAAGAAAACAAAGCCTTAGATTAAGATAAGTATTTTAAATACTTAATGTATTTCCTTGATCAGGAAAACGAACGCGATTTTTTTTTTTCAATTCTACGTCGCCATTCAAATTTTTCAATGTGTTTGGAAAATAGGAAAATAGGCAGGTGGGGTTGGTAGGGGTGGGGTTATTGTTAATCTTTAGAGACTTAACACTTATTTATAACTTTGTCTTTATGCCATCAACCCCGTAAACAAAGTGGACAATACAAAAGAATTTATACTCCTGATATGTATTCTATTTAATATTTAAGACGCCATAATATAAATTGATGTATATCTTGCTGATCAAAAATCCAATGATAATTTAAATTTCCTTCTATTATATATATAACACTTTTTCTTGCATTGTAATTTAATCAAATGACTCATTTGTTATTAATATATTTAACGATTTCTTGAAAGTAAAAACATAACAAAGGGGCGTAATCAAATGTTAAACCCGCTTTTGATTGGTTAATCTGGATCTTGAATCTCGAAACTCGAATTTCGAATCTGGAATTTCGAATCTCGTATGTTGAATCTCGTATGTCGAATCTCGAACCTCGAATCTCGAATGAGCCTTCTGGGCTTTCGTAGAATTTGACTAGATTCTGCCTACCTGATCAACATATATAGGGCTCGCTTTCTAGACACCAGTCAATTTTCAACTTGCTGAGATCATCAGGGATATGAAACAAAATTATCAAACTGTTGAAAAATGACCCTGGGTATACAATAAATGACTTTTGGTCTCAATTTTTAACGTTACACCGGCATTAACATATGAAGGCCAAGAGTTGAAGGTAGGATAGTTATCTTCAAGGGAAACTTATGTGTGCTTATACATGTATATAAATAGCCCGTTTTTTTTACTTTTGACATTGTGCAAAAGGGCCAACATTGGGCCAACCTAACCAAACAGTCGTTAAGGTTGGCTGTTAGTTGGCTTACAATTATATCAACGTTGACCCAACAATATGCCATGATGTTTGACCAACGTTGGGCCGATAAACAAAATAACCGTGGGCCAACATAGGGCAACCATCTGTGACAGTTACTAGTTACTACTGCAATTTAATTGTACGGCGATTTGTCAAGTATCCTGCTTATTCCTGGTTACCCGTTGCCAGGTATGTTTTTTTTTTAATTTTCAAGTATTAACATCAATTCTCTGTAAGGACCAAAATTTTACTGTAGGGCTGTGGCACACACCATGGGCGATTTCAATGAAACTTCTTCAGGTGATTAATGCCCTTACACTTTGACATAATCAACATTCAAAATTAAGGTTACCACATTGGTTGCCATGGTAACGGACAAAAATAGATTTTGACCCCATTTATGCACATTTCACACATAAAAATGCTATATAATTCATTTCAAATGGTATAATCATCTTTATTTTTATAAGATAAATAATACATTATATGAACAGAACATATGGAGCAATATATTACACAAATAAAAAAAATTCTAAATGTCACAGCAAATTCCTCAATTGGTGGCTCAAAGATGACAAAATTCTAACATTTCGAAAATGGGCATTTTTACCCTGTTTTTCAAGAGGTCTATCAAAAATTGCAAGCACTATGAGAAAAAATCAACTGAAATTTTAAAAACACTATAATAATGTTATTCAACTTTTATAAAAAGTAGAGTGGGTATTTTATTCGTTTAAGATATTTTTAACTTCGAAAATTGGCATTTTGCAAAATAATTTGTTTCTTTTTCAAAATTTTACCAGACACTAGTTGTTTAATAAAATTTCTTTTCCAAACAGTTTTTTCTTTAAAATATGAGAAATCAAATGAATAATAAATGTTTTCATTTTTTTTAAAGCTATTAATTAAAATAAATCAAAATTAATTGTTTTATTATTGTTTCTCAATGATCCCTTACAAGGGCAAATAACTCAAAATCTAGCAAAAATTAGCTCTTTGATAGCCCTTTTCTATAAATAATTAAACTTCTTTGTCATGCACTGATTCTGATGAAACTTTCCCCATTAGTACTACTTGATACCAGAAATAAAAATATCTAATAAAATTTGGTTGCAAGGTATCTTGGTTGCTATAGAAACAGCCAAAAATTTTTGAAAAATTGATACTTTTGGCTACTTGAAATCTCCACTGAACATTTAATAAAATCTAAGAAAAACCAACAAATTATTGTCACAAAAACTACACACCTTGTTTTAATTTTATGCTACACAGAAAATGTTTAGAAAATTATTTGTACATGTAAGTCAGTGGTAAATATGGGTATATTTGAAAGCCAATTTAAATACTGAAAAATGCAAAGTATTCACTAATTCTAGGCGTCACTTGACCAAAATTTAATAACAACTTAAGAAAAACAATAAAATGTTTGATCTCAAAGACATAGGTGTTAGCAAAATCATTCTATAAATAATTTTTAGGGTTTCCACAGTTACACCGTAAAACCAAGCAAAATAAGATTCTAAGATTGGATTAATGCTATTACCTTGAGGAAAAACAAGAAAATTCTAGACTGGCACATACTAGTATGCATCTTTAAGACCTTGCAACACCAACAACATACTGAAAACTTTTCACAGGAACTTTGCCCAGTAATCAATATTTTCAAATACTAGATACAAAATGGAGAAAAGGTGCTGAATTTAAATTGACTATAAAACTAACAACACATTGAAAAAATCATTAATATATCACTAACAATCTGTAAACATACTCATACTCATTTGTATTCTGTTTATCAGTTTTATTCACGAGAACATTATTTTCCCACTATTAAACAAGACTTTGTGCTGTCAGAAAATTAATTCTCACATAAAATAGTATTTTTAAGATTAAAAAGATTATTGACACCAATTTGTGAAAAATGTGTCTATTTAAAAAAAAAGTCAATGACAATGTTGTGAAATAAGGTAAAATAATTGCAAAAATTATGTGATGTACAGTACATGTATATATAACAACTTTTATATTAATACAGTCTTTTTTTCAAATTATTAATCAAGAAAATCTTCATTCTGAACATTATCTAAAATGTGTATTTATATGTCAAAATATGGAGAAAAAAAATCTGTTACATATCAATTTAGTTCAAACAGCTAAACTTAAAGTTACCTTTTTTTTTTTACGTCAGACGTTTACTGTTACAGTAATTAAACTTACTTGTAAAAAGGCATGGGGACCTTCGAAATTGCTTTGCTATACCCGTTATTTGTTATATCTGTATAAGGAATGTGTTAAATTTATATACCGGTAGTTGGGGATCCAAGATGACTTCGCTTTATCCGTAAATTCACAATATCCGTGTTTGTACTAAACGAGTTTTGCTGTGTGATGTTATGGCTGTCCGGTGAAGAAAGTGGGTTTAAAAAGTGACACTTGAAATAATCATCTTCGACTTTTTCCCTGAAATAAAAAATAACATACATCTAAACCCTAATTTAAATTCATTATTTATCTACATTTTTTTCATGTGAAAACAAAATTTATATTTTTTTCACTATCATGTATTTAATTCTAAACCAATTGTTAGTATTTACACCTTGAAAAAAATACCTCAAAAATATTTTAAGTATAACCAATCGAAGATAAAAGCAACCTAAAAAATTTAGTGAACTTCACAAACTTCAAAACTTCTGACCTCCAATTTCTTTAAACAGAATTCCCTCCAAAAGAATACTGTTTGGTAACGATACTGTCTGGAGTTCAGTTCTCATGCAGGATCACTTGCAAGTTTTCTGTCTTTGTTTTTTAATTTTGTAACTGCCTCCTGTTTCTGGTATATAACCTTTGTGTTAAAAAAAAAAGATAATAAAAACATAAAAAACAAAGATTATTTCCTAATAAGTTGCAACTATATAGTTCATTGCTGTATACTTGATACTAGTATTTCTATTTAGGGTTCCTCTATTTATAGTGCCTTATATGCAACTTTCTTGCATAAATCATACATATATGCATCATGTATGTTAGGGATATTCATACTATTTCATATATACGTGTATCCAAGTACAGTTGCATAATAGCTTAATACATATTCAATTTATGAATTTGTAAATACAAATTTTGATTGACTACTTGTAAGTTATATGGTGTTCCCACAATTAATTTTGAATTTGCTTGTGAATTAAGTATGGTAAGATTATATTTCTTTTAATATATAGAACAAAAAAAATTCTAAAACCTCTTTGATAAAATTTTTATCAAAACATACATCATGTGTTGACTTTGTTGATAAAATTGAATTAATTTAAGTAACAGTGTACTTACAGTTGCTCATATATCCTTTATTGGTGTCATTTGTATCATTTGTAGCCTTTCACAGGTGATGCTCCTATGTCACACTTCTGAAATGTAACAATGCAATCATAGTAGGTTCTACAACCAATTTTTGATTCTTTTTTTTAAATTACTGTATCCCGAAACTTTATTAGAAACAAGAGGCCCATGGGCCACATCGCTCACCTGAGCACTAAGGGTAGGAAAAAGTAGAAAATGGCTTTTTATTGTAAAGTTTAAATCCCAAAGTAGTCCCATGACCAATCATGGATTTGCTATTTTTTAGAAAATGATTTTTAAAGAATTTTCCTATATATATCTTCAAAAACTTGGTTGGCCATTTTGGCCCCGCCCTACCCCTGGGGGTCATGATTTGATCAAATTTGAATCTACACTTCTTGAGCATGCTTCCATATAAAAATGATAAATTATGGTTTTGTCATTCTTGAGAAGAAATTTTTTAAAGAATTTTCCTATATATTTCTATGTAAAACTTTGGTCGGCCATTTTGGCCCCGCCCTACCCCGGGGGTCATGATTTGAACAAACATGAATCTACACTACCTGAGGATGTTTCCCCATAAGTTTCATCTTTCCTGGCACAGTGGTTCTTGAGAAGAAAATTTTTAAAATATGCCACTAAATTTTCATTAATTCCCAATTATCTCCCCTTGAATGAGGGCGTGGCCCTTCATTTGAACAAAAACCTGAATTCCCTTCACCCAAGGATATTTTGTGGCAAATTTGGTTGAAATTGGCCCAGCGGTTCTTGAGAAAAAGTTGAAAATGTGAAAAGTTTCCAGACAGACAGACAAACGGACAAACGGACAACTGACAAAATGTGATCAGAAAAGCTTACTGAGCCTTCGGCTCAGGTGACCTATAAATCATGACATTAATAAAAGATTTAATTTTCTGTGGTACATGTAGTTATTAGCATTAAATTATGATGAATGTTTATTTTATTAGCATCAAATTATGATGAATGTTTATTTCCTTACCAGGTAATTTTAATATTTAAAAAGAATTCTCACCTGCTTTTTACTGAAAATGAATTCTCAATGCATCTTTTCATCTTTATTTTCATACGTTCGAACTGTATTGGTACATCTAAAAATAAATTTAATATTAATTATTAAAATGAAATATATTTGTGTGAATACATACCTTCAAGCTAGGGCATATCATTTTTAAACAATCATGTATTTTATTAAAGTGTGTATAAATTGCTAAAGTTAATTGAAAATTATGGGTTTTTTTTTTCACAGTCAAAGTGAATAGAGCCTTATAATATGCATGTGTTTACGTGCATCTCTAATTTATACACACTTCCCTAAATATTTTTTAGCCCCCAAATAAAACACACACACACTTAATAACAATGTAGTCTGTACCCGAAAACACATATTAATTTTTCATTTCATAGACACAAACCTAAGTTACATCTTTTATTACATTCTCCTCCTAATCAATAGTTGTATGATTTTCAAGAGTAAGTTAATTAATTTGCTTTCTAAAGTAAACACAAATTTCTACTTTTTTTATACCTGTGCCAAGGGTAGATCCATTCCTACTGATTTCCCGGTTGCCATATCCACTGCTTTTCAATGTTTTCTTCCATTTGCATCATAATGTACGTTTGGGGTTTTAGAATAGATGGAATCCCTCTAGTCAGACTTCATAAATTTTGTTCCAATATTTCACAAGACCTGTTTCTTTCATTTTCATTAATTGATTGATGACTTAATTTGTCACTCACAACTTAAAAATCATTTTCTCATTGTTTATTTTCCTGGTGGTTAATTGTCAGTGTGAAAATTCTTATGAGTTTATTTGAATTTTTTTTTATATTTTGTGAAAAGAAATAGAATTAATACACACAACAAAAGCACAATCTAGTAAAATAAAAGACTTCTTAGATTCGCTCTGTATACGTACAATCTGCGCAAGAGTATACGGCACGGATCCATATGAGTCTAATTTTAAGAACATTAATTCGGAATAATTATTTTTATTAATTCTATAGTAACATGGAATTACCGTGAGATGTGGGATAAAGATGTTATTATTTGTTAAAAGCTTATATTTTACATATCTTATAAATATGTCAAAAAAATAGCATTCACAATTGATTAAAAAAAAAATAACCTTTTTTGAAACATAATTATAATGAAGTGTTAAATGTAGATGCCATGCTTCATATAAACTCATATTCAAAATTTTATAATGGTACTAGCTACTGGCACAACTCTTTTTAGTGAATCAATTAATAATGTATGCGTTTCATTTATTAAGTCATAATTATTATGTATATAATATTTTCTAACAATGCAAACAGCTGTGTGTATATTGCAAAAAATCGCATGGATTAGAAGTTAAAGACACCTTTATATTTTGAACTTAAAAACTAATGTGCTCAATACTCGTTACACCCGTTGTATCAACGTTAATTTTTCCTAACTTTCCTAAAGTTGAAAATATGTTGCATCTTCCACGTTGTTTCAACGTTAAAATCAAGAGACAGTCAACTTTGCATTTTTAAACATTGTTTTAACTCTACATAATCAGAAAATACTCAACGTTGAAAACATGTTGAATCTTCAACGTTTTTTCAACGTTGAATATCGACAAGCATTCAACGTTGAAAATATGTTGCAGCTTCAACGTTGTTTCTACGTTGAAATATCAAAGAACATCTAACGCTGAGAATATGTTGCAGCTTCAACGTTGAAATATCAACGAACATTCAAGGTTGAAAATATGTTGCAGCCTCAACGTTGTTTCAACGTTGAAATATCGACGAGCATTCAAGGTTGAAAATATGTTGCAGCCTCAACGTTGTTTCAACGTTGAAATATCGACGAACATTCAACGTTGAAAATATGTTGCAGCTTCAACGTTGTTTCAACGTTGAATAAAGGTTGAGGATTCAACGTTGAAACCTCAACGTTGAAACAACGTTGAAATATAGTTGATCAACGTTGCAACCTATAATCCACCTCCTTTCAACGTTGAAACAACGTTGCGTGCCTGCTGGGAATGATGTATTCAGCGAAAGTCAATACGCAGCTCAAATGGGAAACATCACAGATAAGACAAAATGTGAGGATTTCAGAACGAGTTCAGATTCTCGAAACTACAAAACCAGTCAATGAAGCCGCCAACTGCCCTTGGATTTTTGAAAGGAATGTTGATAATAACAGAATACCGACCACTCTTTGGGAGGCAAAGTGCGTTTGTAATTGTGGAGTAAATACCGCCGATTGCCTTCATTACAGATGCATGCCGGTGTACACATATGTTAAAGTGTTGCGAAGGATAAGTTGCACGCTAATTTTATTAAGGAATATCAACAATTATTATATAGTCTATTTATAGTCCTATATAATCTATACAAATGCAAACAGTTCATAACACTACATATTCACCGGATTTTAGGCCGTATTCAACGGAGGGTCATTGCGCGTGCAACGGCATTGTGACGTCACAATCAAAACATCAACAACGTTGTAAACATATGGTTGCAACGGCTGCAGCGAGCTACGTATCTGAACAGGAAAACAATTATTCAAACCTATTTCAGGATTATTTTTTAACATTTTGGACGTCTTACAAATAGCGAAACTCGGAAAGGAAAACACGGAGGTTACAAACAGTAATCTGGAGATTTTTTTTATTTTTCAACAATGGATAATCGCAAATGAAAATGGTGTTATCATACAGCCTTCATTGTCTTATCTATTTAAATCCCGACTATATAATAAAACAATTATGGACTCTTTTGGTGTTGAATATGGTTTGTTATTCACCAGAAAAATATCCATATTGACCTCGGCTTCGCCTCGGTCAATATGAATATTTTTCTGGTGAATAACAAACCATATTCAACACCAAAAGAGTCCATAATTGTATAATAAAAAATCTAGATATCATAATATTCATTTTTAGGCATCTTTTTCAGAATATAAAATATTAAGAACACTAGGAACAGCGATCAATCTGATTACATGTAGTCCATTGATCAAAATAGATTCAACTGATTATTTAACGCTTCATGTGCTACTCAGTTTATAAATACGTTTCAGATGAAAAATCAAGGAATCAATTCAACCTGTTTAAAAAATGGCATATTTTTTCTTCAATGCATGATAATACATCTATGCACAATTGTTTACAAGGTATATACCTTAGTCATCGTTTAATAATGAATGACATCATAGATATATCAGAAACAACACATGGATGGGTATATCATTTAATTTCTATAAAATACTTGACTCTGATTGGATAAAAAAATTCTTTTGATAACTCCTTCAATAGAATCTAGAGTTTGCTTGCGCTAAGCAGCCGGAACTACTTTGGCAGTCTTTACATGTATATTCCCGCTTCCAGATTACTTTTTGAAGGAAAAAATTAAAAATAAATTAATACTTTCCTGAATTTTAAAACCTGTCCATTACGTTCCTGTCTTATTTCCTACTTTTGTTTCTTTTTTAATTATCCCCCTTTGCTAAACAAATCAAATCGTCTGCATAACAACAATACAGTTTAAGGAAAGAAGGAAAGAAATCGGCAATCTTTTGCTAAAAATGTTTGACTTTGAGATTTTTCTTATGAACCATAGAACCCTGAAGAAATTTTTTTTTTATTCTACCAAAGCGGAGAAAACCGTTAATCTGTTAAATCTTGGGAAACGAATGAACGAGAAAAACGACACTGCATGGACGAGGACGGAATTCTTTTAATCGTAAACAATGGGCAGCAGACTCCTCCAGATTTTACAGAATTGACAGGTTGTGATACGTATTTAAGTTATATCTTTGGTTTGAAATTCAGATAAAAAATTGCACAAATGAAATTCATAATTTCTGAGACCTACAACTGTTTGGATACCTGAGTAGCTTCCCTTTACAATTAGAACTAAGATAACTTACATGTACTGTGAAAAATATACCCACTGGGATATGACACAAATTTTTTGATTAAGAATTGTAAATTTTTTCAGAGAATGGTGGTAATGTCCCGTC